TTCTCACTGTCAGAAAGTTTCTCCTTATTTCCAGGTTAAATCTCTCCTTGTTCAGTTTCCATCCATTATTCCTTGTCTGGCCTACAGGCGCTTTAGAAAATAGCTTGACCCCTTCCTCCTCTCTGTGGCAGCCCCTCAAATATTGGAAGACCGCTATCCTGTCTCCCCTGGTCCTTCTCTTTACTAGACTAGCCAAGCCCAGTTCCTGCAACCGTTCGTTGTATGTTTTAGCCTCCAGTCCCCTAATCATCCTGGTTGCTCTTCTCTGTACTCTTTCTAGAGTCTCAACATCTTTTTTATAACGTGGTGACCAAAACTGGATGCAGGACTCTAGGTGTGGCCTTACGAAGGCTTTATAGAGTGATATTAGTACTTCCCTTGATCTTGACTGTATCCCTCTGTTAATGCAATTTAGGATTGCATTAGCTTTTTTGGCGGCGGCTGCACACTGCTTGCTCATATTTAGCTGGTTGTCCACTAAGACTCCAAGATCCCTCTCCCAGTTTCTGCTATTGAGCCTGGTTTCACCCAGTCTATATGTTTACTTTTGGTTTTTCTTGCCTAAGTGGAGGACTTTACTTTTCTCTATACTGAATTTCATTTTATTAGATACGGCCCAGTGTTCTAGTCTGTCAAGATCCATCTGGATCTTGAGCCTATCTTCTTGGGTGTTAGCTATTCCTGCCAGCTTAGTATCATCTGCACATTTGGTAAATTCCCCTTCTATTCCCTCATCTAAGTCGTTAATGAAGATATTGAAGACTACTGGGCCTAAGACAGAACCTTGTGGCACCCCACTGCTTACTTCCCTCCATGTAGACTTAGACCCATAAAGGACTACTTGTTGAGTATGGTTTGTCAGCCAACTGCAAGTCCATCTAGTGGTGGTGCTATCTATCCCACTTTTTTCTAGCTTACTAAAAGGTAGGTTGTGGTCTACTTTATTGAATGCCTTGCTGAAATCTAAATATATTATGTCCACAGTATTTTGCTGGTCTACTAATTTAGTCACTGTTTTGAAGAATGAAATAAGATTGGTTTGGCATCATCTGTTTTTAACAAACCCGTGCTGACTGCTAGTTATTACTTTACTTGTTTCTAGATGTTGACAGATCTGTTTTTTTATTATCTTTTCCAGTATCTTCCCGGGTATTGATGTTAGGCTGATTGGTCTGTAGTTTCCTGGGTCTGTTTTTTTTTTTTTCCCTTTTATGAAGATGGGAACCACATCAGCTCTTTTCCAGTCCTCTGGTAGTTCCCTGGTGCTCCAGGATTTTTGAAAGATACGGCGCAGTGGTTCTGAGATGACCTCTGCCAGCTCCTTTAAAACTCTGGGATGTAATCCGTGAGGCCCCAGTGATTTGTTTTCATCAAGATCGGACAGGTGTTCTCTTACTATTTTTTTTGCTTATTTTAACTTTTATTTCTGGTCTTAGGTCATAGGTCATTGGTCTTTACAAGGTGAAGAGAGGGGATGCCTATATTCATTGATCCTAAGGAAGTTGAAGAATAGTAAAATTATTTACTATGTTGACATGGATACATGCATGAGAGCCGGAGTAATGAAGGGGAAGGTTTTGGACTAGCTGTGGGACAAGCAGGTTGCAACCCTCTCCTAGGACTGAAGTCAGCTGGGTGACTTTCAGTAGTTCCTCCCTGCTCAGCCTAGAAGTTAAAAAAAAAAATATCTAACTCATATCAGATCACCATGATAGGAACAGCAATAGCCCTTAGACTTATATACCACTTCACAGTGATTTACAGACCTCTCTAAGCGGTTTACAGAGTCAACCTATTGCCCCGCAACACTCTGGGTCCTCATTTTACCCACCTCGGAAGGATGGAAGGCTGAGTCAACCTGGAGCCGGTCAGGATCAAACTCCTCGAATGAGCAGTGGGTTAGCCTGCTATAAGTGCATTTTAACCACTGCGCAACTACAGCTCTATCATAAGATTCTGATCCTTCAGGGAAGAGGCCGTCTTTCTGTAGCGGATTGACCTGCCATGATTATGATGAGGGTGACTGCAAAATAAAAAATGGAAAGCTGAAACACAGGATTACCGACTTTCAGGTTGTGGGATCCCTTGTAATCCTGCTCCTCTCCCATTCACTCTCCCAAACCCAACGTTAAGTGGGGTCCCTCAGAGGTCCCTGCAGGTGGCAACCTTTATCCTTCTCTGATCAGATGCTATCACTTCTTAAAAAGCTTTTCTTCAGTTTGCTTTTCTTTGGGACACCCTGGAGATAATCTGGCTGACCTGATGTCCGTGATTAAAAAACAAACAAAAAAACCATTGGTGTATTAACACTCATTCATTCATTCATTCATTCATTCTTGGAAAAAAGAGTTTAAGAAAATACAAAGTATTCTTCATCCTGAACTCTTCCACTGCAAATATCTTTAGAAAGAAGTGGGCCACTGTCAAATGTTTTTGTGTAAGAGTTTCACTATGAACACTATAAATACATGGAACTATAAATATTTTCTTATCAATGATTTATTTTTCTAGCCAAGGGAAGTGTTAGTCACTTAGGAGCAATAAGTAAACATACGCAGCCGTTTAGGGAATGGAAATGTTGCTTTAATGTCAGCCTGTCTTTTGCTAGTCAGTGAAATTCCACGGTCCTTGATGATTCATAGAGACACTTTTAATTATTCATCTGATACGGTACAATTTAAAATCGTATTATGTCATACCCAGAGTATGAAGTTTCTAAAGAAGATATTTCCCTCCAAATTCCTCAAATAAAAAAAAATGCACGTTACTGCCGTGGTACTTGTCTGCTCTTTAGAAAAGTGGCCTTTTTTTGCTGCTTAATTTGGGGTTTGTTTGCTGAAATGAGACGTAAAGTGGGGCAGGTGTGTGTTTTCCCTCCAGACCAGACGGGCTCCATTGCTCCATTTAAGTTTTTAATTCTTCCCCCCAAATTCCTGCTGGGAAGCATCTCTGCTTCATTCTGCTCAACAGGAATTTGTCCCCTTTTTGCAGGTCCAGCCGGAAGTTTTAGCGCAATGAATCTGGACTGCCCTTGGAGCCGAGGCCCTCTCTCTGGAGAGAAACAGTACCAAGACTCTCCTGTCCTCTTCTCTCCTCCCTTCTTTCCTTTTTGGAGGATCTCTGTGTGCTCAGGCCAGGAGGTCAGCACAGCAGACCCATCATAATGCAATCCTGGGCTCCATTTGCAAAGGAGGGACTGTGAGCTGCAGCCGGGGTACACATCCCTCCCTCTGCTGCCCAGTCCTTGGTCGGGCAGCGCAACGGGGAGCGCCAGGTGCGGCTCCAAGGAAAAAAGACAGGCAGGCAACCAGAGAGACTTCCCGAGAGGGTTGTGCAGTGCTCAGCCACAGGCTGCAGCATCCAGCAGGCCAAAGATAAATCAGGCAGATGTTTGCCGTCTGGGACGGTAACTATTCCTTCTATCGCCATCCTTGCTCGCTCCCTCGCTTGTGCTCTGCCTCTCTTGCGCGCCAGCCCCGTCTGATCCCTTGGACTTCCGGGCAGCGATAGTTCTGAAGCAGGCGGTCAGTGTGGCTGTTTGGAGGAAACAGGCGGGGAAGAAGCCGGGGTGGCTGTCTTTCCACACTCCCAGGAAACTCTTGTTTCAGAGCATCAGGATCAAATTAGCACAGCTTTGCTTCAGAGAACTAATTAAAATGTACAATGTCCTAAAACCTCTTGTGTGACAAATGTAAGATTAGAAACAATTAAAAGCCACTCAAGAGGTTTGTGGTGTTTAGATTCCTGACATCGTTATAATCATCCCTAGAAGTAATGAAAACAATGGTTGCTCTCAAAGAAAGAGAGGCTCACGTTATCAATCACCAATTAATGATTGTTTCTCCTGCTGAAGGTTGTTGGGATTTCAAGGCTGAATTTATAGGGCTTATTTTCCAGAGCCAACAAAACAACTTCCTTCTTTTCCCCATTTTTTCCCCCTCATAATATAAAACATGAACTCGAAATGGTTTCATTTTCTGTAAATCTGGAGTTTCTGGCCACTGACAATAAAGGCCCTACATGAAACACTAATTTGGTAAAGGATGGTTTCCTTTGAACGGTGGAGAATAAAGGAATCCCTCAATGACTGCCACCTTTTCCCTGCTTCACTGCCAGCAGACAGGACCCCCCCCCCCCGATGCCCCGTCCCCCAAGGGCATGGCCGGAAGGGGAAGGTACACATCACCACCGAATGGCAAGTTTGTCAACAGAAGGACACGGGGGGGGGGGGGGACGGGACATGACAGCAGTGTTCCCGTACTTGACGGGTTGCCACGGAGACCGGAGGGTGGGGAGTCAACCTCTTCTCCAAAGCCCCAGAAGGCCAGACTAGAAACAATGGATGGAAACTAACCAAGGAGAGGAGCAACCTGGAATTAAGGAAAACTTCCTAACAGGGAGGAGAATTAACCAGTAGAAGAGCTTGCCTTCAGAAGCTGGAGGTTTTAAAGACGAGACTGGACAGCCACTTGTCTGAAGGGGTATAAGGTCTCCTGATTCGTGTGCAGGGGGCTGGACTAGAAGACCTCCAAGGTCCCTTCCCAACTCTTGTTATTCTGTTCAGTGCACGCCCACAAGGGATGGCCACGTAATGCCGGCACTATCTGCTGCTTCCTCCTAGCTCTGCAAAAGGCACTTGGTGTTTTCCTTTAGCTCTTTCAAATGTAAACAGCGCTAGATGAGCCAGGAGCAAATGTAATATAGGTCACTTCTCGCTAGCAACTCCATCCAAGCACCATTGTGCCAAAATAACAGCAATGCAGACGGGCTTCGTATGATGGCTGTGATGCTGTGAAGGCACTCCAAGTCACGGGCGGGCGGGGAGGGGAGGGGAGGGGGACGGGGGTGGGGAATGGCCACAGGAACATGTGACCTAGAAACAGCCCAACTTTGGAGAGTTCTTGAGGGAAGATCTGTCGCTTCCCGCAGCTCGTGGAGCACATTAACTTTATTACTCCCGTGTAAGGAATTGGGCTGAACTGCTGCCTGTTTGCTTTCAGCTCCCAACCTCAAAGGACGACCACGGAAGAAAAAGTCCTGCAACCCACAGAGAAGAGATTCGTTCAGTGGCAATAAAGATTCTCAGAATAACTGTGAAGGCAAAAGTGTGGCCAAGGTAAGGAGCGTCGGCCTCTTCCCCAAATTTCCTTTCCAGATGAGTTTTGCTCCCCTTTTTCAGAAGGAGGGAAAGGGAGCTGGGGCTGCTCCCCAAAGGGCACCCCTGCAGAGTCAACCCTATAATGCAGGTTCCCGGGAGCAGGTCACTGTGGCAGCCTCCTTTTGGAGGGGCTGCTGCAGCCAGTGGCTTTGCCTGAACTCAGAGCTAAGCCAGTCCGACTGGAGAGTAGGTGGGGCAAGGTCTCCAGAACTCCATCATGGAGAAGCAAACCAGAGGAAGATGGTGGGAAGAGTCCTTCCCACCATTGCAAGGAGTTGCCAAGTTTTTCGTGGGCAAAAGCTCCAGTAGCTTAGCTACAATTTTTTTAAAGTGGTTGGAATGTGCTTCTAAGTTCATTTGCTGTATGCTTCTCCAGTCTGAGAGGAAGAAAAAAAAAACCCCGCTTTTTTATGGCAACTTGGAAACAAGTGCAGGAAACTTTTACACGGACCTGTCCAGAATTTAAGCTTACCTTGAAGGGTGGTTGGAATTGCTGGTGGGGAGCGGGGGTACTTGTGAACAAAGGGTGAGACTGGTTCAGTCCTTGGGCCAGTTGCAAGAACGGTCATGGAAACTAAAAACGAGGCTGTGAGATCATCTCAAAAGAATATGTGGCCGGAGTACGTCACCCGCCCAGTTCATGAAACCCGTGGAAGGTCTCCCCAGTTCCCGCTGCAGGCCGCAGCTTCCTCAGCCCACGAGTTTGGGGGTTTTCCACACAAACTGCCTCTGTGACAGATCCACTCCACACAGGAGACTGTTGTTTGTGCACAACCATCCATAACCAGAGGTTTGGGCCTTGGCCATTTTCAGAAGTTCCTAGCTGGAGCTTCAAGGAACGGCAACACCCCTAAAGATTCTTCCTAAGTTCTTCAATATGCTGGATTATCTCAATCTTTAGGAATCTTTAAATGCAATAGTGTATTATAAGGTGGAGCAAAGGCCTTCCGAAGATGAGAGTCTTGTGCTTTTCCATCTCCCAGCCATTGAGAAATGGGAAATGGTGAGTTCTCCGCAATAGGAGGCAGGACGCTTGGACAAACTGCTTCTTGCAGTCCCCCCCCCCGCTCCAAAAATCCCCACCCCCCTCCTTTTGAGAGTCAAATGATGGGCCAAGCTCTGTACTTACAGGTGGTGGCCTTTGAGAGACGAATTCCGTATCCTGCACGAGTCAAAAAGAGGGCTGTTAAAATATTTACAGACCCCTCACATCCTGGACATAAACTGTTTCAACTCCTACCCGCAAAATGACGCTATAGAGCACTGCAAACCAGAACAACTAGACACCAGGGCAGTTTTCCCCCGAACGCCATCACTCTGCTAAACAAATAATTCCCTCAACACTGTCCAACTATTTACTAAGTCTGCAATACTATTACCATTAATCTTCTTATCACTCCTTTCACCCATCTCCTCCAACTGTAACCTTGCTGCGTGTATCCTAACAATTTATATTGACTGTTTCCTAGAATGATTTGATTTCTTGTTGTGCCCTATGACTATCATTAAGTGTTGTACCTGATGATTCTTGACTCTTGACAAATGCATCTTTTCTTTTTATGTACATTGAGACCTTATGCACCAAAGACAAATTTCTTGTGTGTCCAGTCACACTTGGCCAATAAAAGAATTCTAATTCTAACAACAATATTCACTCTAACCTTAAACTACATGAGACTTACTAATTTTGAATTTACAGTTTAGTTGGATGATCTGTTACGTGCATAAGAGCTATTAGTCTGTCAATAAGATAGACAGGCATCCTGACAGTTCAGAGATACGGCTGGTGAATGTGATGGTTGAGGTCTGAACTCCGTGAAAAGTGTGGGACCCCCCTCCTCCTCCTCCTCCAGTTGGTCTTCCTTCGTGGCCCACTTTGCGTGGATCGTGGCCTGCCTTCCCCAATTCACTAACCGTGCGTTTGGCTGTAAACAGTGCATCACCCTAGACCAGTGATGGCGAACCTTTTTGTTGTGGCGTGCTTGTGCTGGCACCCACAATGCAATACACTCCCGCGCCCCCTGCACATGTGCGTGCAACACCCCCACCCCATCTTCTTACCCGCACTGCGCATGCGCGCACCTCTCAGCTGATTTTTGGCCATTCAGCGCCATTTTCGCCCTCCCGGAGGCTCAAGGGAAGCTTCTGCAGCCTCAGGAGGCTGAAATCAGGCCTGTTTCGGCACTTCCAGTATTTCTAGAACGCCCATTTTTCGGCCTCCTGGAACACTGTCTTATTGCACCATGTGAACTCATTGCACAAAGCGCCGGCCCCACAAGTCTATCCTACTATGTTGACATGAAATTATTTTCCGTTCAGGAGTCTGACAGCCCACGGGTAGAAACTGTTCTTCAGCCTGTTCGTGCGTCTGGCTCTGCTTCTCAATCTCCTACCCAATGATAGGAGAGTGAAGAAGGGCTGACCAGGTTGTGAGTCGTCCCTGAGGGTTTTCCTCACTCTTTCTTCTAAGGCAGGGAGCCCTCGCGATTGAGTTCTAGGCCTGCATGCTCCCCCATTCTGATTTAATGTCTACACGAAGCCATGGGGAGGTCACCCATCAACATAGATCAGGCATCGTCAGTATTGGGAGGATGCTGAGCTTTAGACCTCAACCCAGTGCTGTCACAATTGTAGTTGGGAGGGCCAGTTATGATCCTTCCTGGACCAGAAGTTTTTACTCACAGGAACTCATCCCTTGCTCATCTGCCACTTGGATGATGGCAATGTCTTCTTCATTGTATCAGCTCTTGCCCCCATTTGGAAGCCACGCGAGGTCCAGAATGTGATGGCTGTGTTTCCTGTGTAACCCTTCTGCTTTGATTGCTACTTAGCTTGTGGATGTAATTCATGGTGGTTGCCTTCAAAATTCTGCTTAGCCACCTACTCCCAGTTATATCTGCCCGTTCAGTAAAGATAAGGAGTGGCTCTCCCTGCATTGCTTCTCTCAGGGCCCAAGAACTCTGCATGGCCGACGCTACCAGAGGCCCCTTCTCTGCAACTGGCCACAACCCTCCTAGGGTTGAGGAAACCATGGAAACGTGGCTGTTTCAGTAGGCCTCAATAATGGCTACATGATGATGAGGTGGTCATCTCTTGCCACCGCTATAGATTATGTTGGTCATTATTGTTTAATCTGAGTTATAGACACCAGCTACATAATCCGTTTACGGTCGGCAGCAATTAAAGCAAAATGTAAGTCCAATAAATAAACAACGTAACGGCTAGGCTTCTATATTGCTAACCTGCTCCCACTCTTCTAAGAATTTGTTTTGCTCGCGCAACCAAACAAAAAGGCTCTTGATGTCTGAGACCCATGCTCAGTTGCAGGTGGGGCTGCAATACAAAACACCCAAGCAGTACGATGACAATAATATGATTGAAAATTCTAAAAGGAGGAAAGGAAGGCTAAATTTATTTCCTCAGGAAAATGACTCCCCAGAATTTTATCAAGGAGTTTGAAACTCTTCTTCTTTTTCATCTGTCCCCCCCAAAAAAATCTAATTAAGATGTTAATTAATAGCATATATCAATCTAATTCTGAAAGGATGGATATCAGTTTGTTGTTCCCGTATGCAATTTGGCAATGCCTCCTTCCTTTGTTCCCCACTCCTCCCCACATCAGTGCCTTGCTAAATTCAAACAGGCCCCTCCATGCATTCTTCTGCTTTGTCCTGGCCTTTGATTAAGAGAACTAATCTACTCATTTTGGCTCTTAATTTTCTCTCTCAGCACAGGGATGATATGATTTCACATTCAAGAGATGCAGTTGATGTGCACAAATAATTTCACACTCAGTGAAATTTAGAAGCGGAGTTTCCCCGGAAGTAATATAAGCCCCAAGAGACTCCCCAACTTTTAAAGACCCTCTGCTTGTACAGGCACATCAATTTTTTTTTCCTTCAGCACAAATGCTGGAAATGTCCTCTTAAAAGACCCATAAACAAATCCATTTTCCAATGCAGCTTTTAAACTATATTTTGAGCCCACAATAAAATAGATGATCTCTCACCAAATTTTAACAGAACTAATTCATGCTTCACCGCAAGACATTTATATCAGATATTTTATTTATGGAAACACCACTTTGGTCATGAACATTTGAAGAAAATGTTCCTGCTAAGTTATGCAGTCTTCAAAGGTCTCTTTTATATAGGAGTGTGTGTGTTATTTTTCTTATACTGAATCCAGTTCATGTACTTCCTCCCTGTCTTTTAATATCAATCATAGGGCCTTTTAATATCAATAATCACCTACAATGGTCATTTATTTAAGGCTGCACTACATAATAAAGGCTTGGAAGTTTCTCATATAAAAGAATTCATGGTATCCTGACATTTACTCTTTTTTCTTTCTTTCTTTCTTTCTTTCTTTCTTTCTTTCTTTCTTTCTTTCTTTCTTTCTTTCTTTCTTCCTTCCTTCCTTCCT